ATTTGGCGGCGTGTTCGACGGTCACTTACGCGACTCCGATAAATTTGTGGAGGTGCGTTTGGTAGCCGACGGCGGCAGCGCGAGCCACTGAAGCCATCCCTGATGCAGCCAATCGAGGCATTTGTATGAATGTGCCGATGACTTACACCTCCGTGCACCAAGCTACCTACCACAGGCACGGGACTGACGTCTGCCCTTCCCACCGCCCTCCCCCTCCCTTTCCACCTCACTTCTTGCTGGGGGCCGGTGTGTCCCCGGGCTGTGTGCCGTTGTTTGCGGCGTCGTGGCGCCCCTCCGGGATGTTTGTTGTTCCCTGCGTCCCTCAGTGGTGGCTGCTGTGGGCGTGATGAGTGCTGATCGTCTTTATCCTAACAAAACGCCTGATTTTCCTGCGTGAAGTACATTGCATCTACCTCTGATAACCTTGTCACCCCCTCGTTTATTCCTTCTTTGCGCTGCTAATTTCTTCATGATTAGCGGTGGTGCGTTTGCCTTTCTTCGGGGCGCACGAGCACCGCGCGTAGCACCGTTGTGGGGCAGCAACACCCATTGCACCAGCGGCGGACTTGCCCTCAGGAGAGTGAACCGGCGCGCACACACACACACGTAGACACGCACGTCTCCGAATTACAGGTCCCTTGGCGGCTGCATCCTTCGATGCCGCTCCACAGGGTACCTATTGGGGGCAGACTTTCCCGGTAAACTCCGACGTGGAAAGTTTTGGTTTCATGCGTCGTGTGTCCCCCGCACTTGCCTTTCCTGCAACAGATGCAGCACATCTTGGACGTGATTTCGGTGTATTATGCCCTTTTTTTTGTTAAATAGGTGTAAAACCGGTCTTTTTTCTTTCTTTATTTGTTGTGCGTGTGCTGTGCCTTGGCTGCGGACCTGTTTAATTATTTTTTCTCTCTTGCAGTGGCCCATCGATGTTGTTTCTCGCCGCGTGTTGTGTCTGCCTTTTGCGGTTCTCGTTGTTGTGTACTCAATTACTTCTGTTTTATTTCTGCTTTGCTTTGCTTTTGGTGTGCGTGTGCAGAGTTTCTTCCCTTGCTTCCGGCATGACTGTGGCTGCTGCCCCCCCCGTACTTGTCGGTCGCGACTATGTTCTGGCGCCGAAGGGGCGCGTGTTCCCGCACCATGGCTTTACGTCGCGGTCCATCGTTCGTAAGCGTTTTGCCGAAAACACGACTCCGTTGGCGCTGAGTGTCGGCCTCGTGCTCCCGACGATGATGGAGATTCACATGCGGCTGGACGAGTGTGTGGTGGAGGGGGCCGACATGCCCCTCTCGAAGGTGTTGAAGATTGTGGGCGAGGCGGGGAAATTGCACTTTCTCACCTTCGCCGACGCAATTGCGCGTGTGGCGGTGCAGACGGGATTTGCATGCGTCTTAATTCGCTCCAACACGGCGTACAGCAACACCGTTGTGTTCCTCTGGGACGTCTACCCCAAGATGCATCAGCACTACGTGGCGGAGGTGGTGCAGTTCCTTCGTCTTCCGCCTTTTTTCTCCAAACTCGTTGGACCTCGTCCGTCTCCGTCGGAGCTGGGCACGTACAACGCACCAATTTCCGCGCTTGCGGCTGCCGAGGACTGCATGAAGCGCAGCACGCTGCAGCTGCTGAGCGATTTGGTCGTGGATGCGGCTGAGTGTTGCATTGGGCGGGTGTGTGCATGGAGCCCCAGCAAGGCCACGAGTGGGTTTTTGGCGCGGTCCGCCATGCGTCTGACGCTGGGTGTGTTTAAAGTCTGTGGAACGGCGGCGGGACGCGCGGCGGCCGGTGCACGTGGCGAGTATTGGGGCGAGATTGCGGGCCTCTCCCTGGCACCCGTGGCGTTTGCGCAGTTTGTTGTCGCCATGCGCACAACTCGCCGACGCCGCGCGAGCGGCACGAGGCCGTCCGAGCGCACGCGCAGCAGCAGCGGCGGTGGGAGGAGTAAAGAGCGTGGGGCGTCGCGAGGGAGCGGGCGTCGGCCCGTGCCGCAGAATCCGGCATAGACGAACCACTTGAAGGATCGCGGCGGCGAACGGGCGCCGCACATTGCGACGTGCGAGATTCGCCAAGCATAAGCTTTCCTTCCCGCCTCGAACCAACAGGCAAAGTCAAATAGAACAGAGAGCGCAACGTCCACGGTCGGGACCAAAAAAAAAAAGGGGGAGGAGGGGGGAGGGAAATAGAGAGAAGGAAAAGAAGAAAGGGGAGTAGAAGCAGCCCGGGTCGCATGTCGTGATGTGCGTATACTGAGGGCATTGATTTGCCGGCGCTAACACCCTACTTTTTTTTATTTATTTCTTTCCTTCTTCTCTATTCGATGTGTTTATTTATTTATTTATTTTTTTTCATCCCTCTTTCTTTTTCGCGTTGTGTATGCGCTTCGCACCCGCGTGATTTGTGTTCTGCGGCTTTTTGCCTCCCACTTCGCCTCCCCTCGTCTTTCTCGCCTCGGCGTGGGCGTTGGCTGCGGCGGGAAGTGGAGGCGCACTGCGGGTGCGTGCGGTTGCACGGGAGGCCCCGCACCGTCGTTGTTGTTTTTTTTCCCCCGCGGTCGGTCGGCCGGCCGGCGCGTGTGCGTGCGAGGGGCCGTGGCCGCCGGCGAGGCGTCAAGTAACCCCCCCAGTTCCACGAATACAAACGAAGAAAGAAAAAGGAAAAATAAAAACAGCATCTGCGGAGAGAAAGCGGGAGCCCCGCGTCGCGGCAGTGGCGGGATGTACACGGATGACTTCCCACAGCGGCGGAACGCCCTGAAAAAGGCGGAACGCCTCAAAAGCAAAGCCGCACGGCGCCAAGAGAAACGCCTGATGCACCCCTTCTGCTTCTCGTGCGAAGAGGTACGGGCTGCCGGGGAGTTTGGCGCGCCACCCCCCTCCTACGCTTCCTCCACGACAGCGTCTTCCTTGGAGTGGCTGGCGGGGGAGGACCGGGGCCTTCTGCGGGACGTGGGCCAAACTGCCGCCGGAGGCGACACACGGCGAGCTGAACCCGGCGGGGCCGGACGTCCGGAGCTGAGCGCGGATCCACAATGCCGCACCGCGCCTCCTACCGGGTGCGAGGTGGCCGGGGCGCCCTCTGCGGAGCCTGGGCGGTGCGGCCACGAGGCAAAAGGGGCCGCCGCGGCAGTAGAAGCGGAGGAGGAAGTGGTCGTGGTTGTGGCAATGCGGGCGGCTGCGGAGGGGCGAGGTGCGTCCGTTGCGGCGCCGGAAAGCAACGACCGTGGCGACCGACAAAAGCCGTCTGCCCTGTCAACGTCATCCTTATCGTCCTTGATGATTCTATCGGAAAATTTGGAAGCTAAAAGTTCCTCTCGGGGAGGCGGTGACGCGGCGGACAGCTCCATCGTTTTGGACACCGGGGACGAGTGCGACAGTGACCTGCTGCCCCCTGACGACGAAGTCTTCTCCATAACGCTTTCCTCCACGGCGACAGACACGCCCCCGCCCTCGCCCCCGACCTCGCCGCATCAGGGGCAGAATAACAACGCATCGCACAGAGCGACGGACGCTGCCGATGGGCTCCGCACGTCGAAGGCCAGCGTTGCCTCACAGTTGACGCCAGCTGCGGGGACTCCTCGCGTGGAAAACGAGGCCGCCGTGTCCGTCGCAGCGGTCGGGGCTTTCGAGGAGGAGCAGCCGCCCACGCCGCCGCATGCTGGTGGGATGGGGGGTGAAGTTGGGAAGACGCCCAGACCGTCGTCATCGCCGTCGCCGTTGCTGTTCCACGGGGGAAAGCAGTGGCACGATGGGCGTGTAGTGTCCCCGGCGGCTCCTGCTGCTGTGGCACCGCCGCTGCCCTCGCTGGGGGCGGAGAGGAGCCAATCCTCGCCGCAACCGCGGTGTTTTGACCGTTACGTGCTTCAGGGGCGGGCGAAGCGGAGGCAGCGGGAGGAGGAGGAGGAGGAGCGTCAGCAGCGGCTCAAGGAGGCGGAGGAAAGGCGGTACACGCCGCAGGTCTCCCTGTACGCAGAGCAGCGCGGCTCACGTTCTTTGGCTGAGTACATTGCGGCCTCCCGGGCGTGGGAACAGCGGCGGACCGACCACGTGAAGTCCGTTGAGGCGCAAATTGAGGCTGCCGAAGAAAGAATGCGGCGGGCCGCGGTGCGGGTGAACGCGACATCGGAGCGCATTGTGAGGGAGATGGAGGAGCGAAGGAAGCGTATCGGGGTGGTGGAAGGGGCCACGCAGCACGCCGCTTTCCGCCAGTCTTTGCTGAGACGACTACAGAAGAAGTACGCCCCAAGCTTTAAGCCGGTCATCACGGCCGTGGCGGGGCGACGAAAGGCGGCTGAAGGCCAAACACGCCAGGAAGGCGGGAGACATTCAGGTCTGGGGGATTTCTATGACCGTTTTAGTCGCTACCGCGACGCAAGCGATAAGAAGCGGGAGCGGCTTCTGCAAAGCGCGACGGCGCAGCAGGCAGCACCTCCGACGCAGCGGCGTACAATGGCGCATATCAAGGAATATGCGCGCTCCATGTGGGAGCAAGACGAAAGGAGGCGGGACAAATTGAGGCGGCAGGTGGAGAGGGAGCGGCAGGAGGAGGAGGAGCAAATACGGGCCATGCGGCCGCAAGTCAATCGGCGCTCCGCAGAGCTTGCGGAGCGTTTCCGCGAGCGCCAACGCACCGCCGCCACAGCGGCGTCAACGTCAACCTCCGTGCCGCCCATGGCAGGCCTCCGTAGGGGCGGCACGCGCCAGCAACCGCGGAGGGCAACAAGCGGCAAAAGAGGAAGTCCGCCACCCAAGCGACCGCCGCCTCCGACAAACCGCAAGTTGGCGTTCTCCACCTCAAACTCCTGCAGTGGCCCTCAGAAGCCGGGGGCAAGTGGCCCCAAAGAGACCGTGACGCCCGCCATCTCACCGGACTTTGAGGAACGTAACGCGCAACTTCTACGCATGCGGAAACAGCGTGCAGAGTCGCTGCGCCACGAGGCGGAAAAGGAAATCGCTGAAACGTGCACCTTTAAGCCACAGGTAGACCCGGTCTCGCGGCGCATGGTGGAGGCGCATTATCGGCATCACCTGCGACCCCACGCTTTTCACCACGAGCCGCCGAGTTGCTTCGGGGAGCACAAATGTCCCTCCTCCTCTGCCGCCGCGCGGACCGGCGCCAGAAACGGCGTTGACGGGGACGTTGCGTGGGCCTCTGGCGTACGCGTGGCAAAGGACGTGGACGACCGCGTCGAGAGCATTTCTTGCCACCCCGACGATGAGGACGGCGATGGGGGGACAAACGACGACGGTGAAGACGACTTGGCGGCGCAGATTGAAAGCCTCGAGTCGATGCTGACGCAATGGAAGCAGCTGGAGGCTGAGTATCGTGTATAGTTTTCGCTTGACGCTTTTTTTTTCTTGTTTCCTCGCTAACACCACCACATACCCGCCACCTTTCTCTTCCATTGCGTGCGTGCAGCAATGGAAGAGTAGGGGACGCACGAATGAAAGTTATGAAACAGCAGTAAAAGCCCAGAGAGGTGGAGGTGGTGGCACGGGTGAGGTGGCTGTACTTTAATATCGTGCGGAAATGCTCAGTATTGGCCGGGCATTGGGTCCCCTTTTTTTTGTTGTTGTTCTTTTTTTATTTTATTTTATTTTTTTTTGTCGTCTGTTTTTTTTTTCTTCTCTCTCTCTCACTGTGTGTGTGTCTGTTTTTCTGTTGTGTAGTCCCCCGTTTTGTTCGTTTGTTTGTTTTTGTTTCAAGTTTTATTTGCTGAAAACGTATACGGTGCAGTCGCCGTGAAGTCTCTTGCTGTCCGACCCTCGGTGTGTGCGTGTGTGTGTGTCAGCGACATGGGCCGGTGTTGTGGCAGTGCGACTGCGGTGGCCGTCTGGCTGCTGCTTTTTTTTGTCGTCACCGTGGCGGCCCCCGCTGCTGCGACGGGCGGCGGCGCAGGGCCGCGGGCGGCGCAGGCCCCGACGGACGCGTGTCAGTGGGGGCTCCGTGGCGCCGGGTTCCACATGCAGTTCGCGGTGGAGTTCCCCCTACACTACGAGGAGGTTGAGATCTCCTTCGAGCTCCCCAGGGCCTTCTTCTTTGACGCGGCGGAGGCGGAGCAGCTCTACACAATCACCGCACCGGGCGGCGTGGAAGTCGCGGGGAACTACACTTCCCTTGACATCAGGTCGAAATTCTTCTTTGACATCGAGGCTCCCGCCTTCCGGGTGGCGTACGAGGCGAACAGCGTGCGCCTCGGCTTCGCGCGGCTGCCGCCAGCGACGAAAGGGGCGGCGGCGGCGGGGCCGAGTCCTGCTGGGAAGGGGTTACTGCTGCTGCCTATTCATGCCCGCTATGAAGCGGTGGACGCGGTGACGCCATTTTCCTTTAGAGCGTTCTTCAATAGAGAGTCTTTTGTGCGGCGCTGCATTCCGGAGGTGGACGTGCGGGACAACAAAACTGCCGCGCGGTGCCACACGCTGCCCGCGTTGACGGGGGAGGAGAACCGCGGCCGCAGTGGCAGTGCAGCTGCCTGGCCGAAGCGCCCGAGCAACTGCCAAGACATTCCTGTTCCTCTTCTTTCCTCGCTGCCTGTGGTGTACGTCGCGTTGCTGGCGCTGCAGTGCACCGGCGCCGCTGTCGTGGTGTTGTCCCTACTGCGGGTTTAGCGCCCCCGCGGCAGGGAGAGGAATACAATAGATAAATTGCCCTTTGGGTGGCGGTAGCTGCAGCCGCCGTTGGGGTGTGGGAAATCGCAAATTGGGAGGAAAAACGCACGCGGAAGAGAAGCAACGACACGGCTTTATTGTAAACGGGTTTGCTTTGTCGATTCGCTTTGTCTCTATAACTTCATTGCTTCCGCTCCGTCTGTTTTTTTTTGTTTGCTTGCTTGCTTGCTTGCTTTTTCCTCCGACTCGCATCGCCGCTGTTCCGGGTGTGGCGTTGGGCTCCGCCCTCCGCTTCTCCCCCGCCTTTGGTCTCAGTGCTTTGCTGGTCCTCGCCCACGCTCCATCAGCCCACAACCCGGGGAGAGGGGGAGAGGAGTCGCACACAAGTGAGCGCACAGGTTCAGAGGCAGGCCGCGCGCAAAATGCCTCTTACTTTTCTGGGCGTGAATAGGCACCCGTCGCCCGAGGCGTTTCCGCCGCCGTCGCTGCTGTACAACAACCTCTCCTTCGTGGAGGAGTGCGGGGCGCTGGTGTACGCCTCAAGGAAGGACTGCATTGTCAGGGACGTGGAGACGCAGAAGACGCATGTGCTGCCAACGGGGGCCTCCGAGCAGGAGATGATTCTCCACTGCACCGCCACGCTCGCACCTGCGGGGCTGCTGCACCCTGAACATTCCCTCCTTCATTCTCATCACCATGAAGTCTTCCACGCAGCTCTGGACGACGCGCTCCCCGCTCGGCCTCGTGCCACATGACGACCCAAATGGCGATGGCTGCTGCGGCGCCATCGTTGCGGCGCCCGCCGGCGTCGCACACGTCCTCGTTGGCACAAACAAAGGGGTTGTGTTTTTTGCCGTGCTGGATGCAACGCCCGACACGCCGTTTCGTGTCGAGTCAGCCCTGAAGGGGCACATGGAGCACGCTGTCACCGCGGTGCAGCTGAACCCGTTTCACGACGCGCCGCTTTTTGCGGTCACCGGCGATTCCGTGGGCCGTGTGTTGTTTTGGAGCCGCGCGAGGCAGGCGTTTGCGTCCGTTGACACCCCGGCGTGCGTGACTGCGCTGCAGATAGTGAGTGGCGGCGACCTCACGGTGGCCGCGAACGGGGCTGGAAAGTTGCAGGTCTTTGACAGCCGCACGGGCGAGTTGCGGGTGGAGATCTGCGCCCACTCGCGCTGGATTAACACGCTGGCGTTCTCTCCGGCGACCAACACCGTCCTCTCAGGGGCGGAAGACGGCTACCTCACGGTGTGGTCGCTGCCAACGAAGCTCGTGGACGGCGTCACACCCGTCGAGCCCGTCGCAACGCACCACGTGCCTCATGTTTTGCCCACGGGCGCCGCCTTCAGGGCGGATGGCGCCCATGTTTTCATCGCGCTCTACGATAGAAACACTATTACAGAGTACACGCTCGTGTGAGGAGCGAAGCGGCCAGACCTGGAAGCGAGAAGAAGACGCAAGATAAAGCGATCTCTGCTGGGAGTGTGTGCGTGGAGCGGGGAGCGGGGAGCAAGCGAGGCGGCGTAGAGTAAACCGCGACGGCACGAATCCGTGGGGTCTGCGTCGTTGCGCCTGAAGTTGTATGTTTTGTGGCCCCAAATGGCGGTTTTCTTGTGCTGGCGTTTTATTGACTCTTCCTTTTTTACCATTACTTGTCGCCATGCGGCACGGAGGTTTACGCTTCTTCTTCTTCTCTCTGCTCTATCTGTGATTGGGGTTTCTTCGTCCTTACGCATCCATCCCCCCCCTTTTTAAAATTATTTTGCGGTGCAGAAAGGAAAAGCGTGCGATTGCGTTATCATGCTGCAGGCCACACCGCCGCCTTCTGCGGCAGCCCTCCTTAACCGTGAGGCGGCGGAGCTGGACGGGAACGTCGTTGCTTATGAGGGCTGTGGCGATGATGACGACAGGGCGACACTTTTGGCCTTTGACGAGGGCAGCGACACGGGGACGTGCTCGACGCACACTGCACTTCTCTCGGACGGCGCGGAAGAGGAGGTGGAGGGGAGAGGCGATGCTCCGTGCGGCGCCGTCTTCGGCGCCGCACACGATGTGGAGGTGGCTCACTGCGGCGGAAGTCAACCACCACAGCCGCTGTCGAGTACTCTCAACAAACCCCCGCCAACGTCGACCCCATTTCAGGAGATTCACCTCGTCCGGAGCGCAGCGCCACTGCACCCGCACCCGCCGGAAGGAGAGGGAGCCGTCGCTGAGGCAGTTGGGTTCCCGCAGCTGTGCGTGTCCTGGGAACTGTGTGCCGGAGCACAGGCCTTGGGCGCGGTTCAGCAGTTTCTCGTTCCTGCCGAAGGGGAGGTGTGGTGGGCCTCCACGGGTGCGCCCCCGCCCCCGGCGAGGCTCACGTGCGTGTACCAAGTTGGGCGCAGCGAGATTCCTGAAGCGCTCGGCGCTTTAAAACTGCCCCAGTCACGCTACTCGGTGTCCCGCATGCACTGTGAGGTGCGGCTGCATTTCCGTCTGACGCCGAATTCAGTCGCTCAGATCCAAAACACCGCCACACCGCACGGCCGCGTCTACAGCTGGAGGTCCTTCGATGTTGTGGATTGCTCTTCAGCCAACGGAACGCTCTACCACGCGGTGAGGCTGTTGCCGTCGCACCGCTACAGCTTTTCGGTCGAAGGCGGGGTGCGCTCGGTGGAGCTCATGCTGGGGGACCATTACCTTTTGCGCGTGCAGCCGCGCGATGCCGCCGCGACGGCGTCGGCGGAGCCTCCAGCCCACCACCGCGACGCCGCAAAGCCGGCTGAGAGGGCCGATGCAGCGGTGCAGTGGACGACGTCCCCGGTACGAGTCACACGGCGCGCGTCGCCTCAGCCGCGGCGACAGGCCAAGAAGCCCGTCACCCCTGCCAAGCGCCAGCGCACCGCACAGCGAAGGAAGCGCGTGGGATTTAAGGACGACGCCGCGCCATTCATTCGCCCTCCTTGCGGCGGCGTGGAAGCCGGGGCGAATGGGGCGTTAACGATTGTGACGACCGGAATACGACTCACCCCGGCAAAGCAGAGCAAACTTCGTGTTTTGGGAATTGTGGCGAACCCTGCCATGACGGAGTTTAGTCGTGCAAAAGTCCTTGTGATTGAGGCCCCGCTGATGCGGAGCGTGAAGCTCTTGACGGCGTTACCGTACGTGCAGCACATCGTGCACAGAGGCTGGCTAGATGCCGTCCTCGCGTTGGCTTCGAAGGCGGCCCCAGCGTCGTCGTCGTCGTCGCCGTCGTCCCCATCGCATTTCTCCGACCCGGCGTTGTTCCCCTACTCAGAGCGACGCACGCGGCGCAGTATCGAAACCGCAAACGGCTTTTCTCTAGAGGAGCTGATGCAGGTCCCTCTTAGCCAGCGTCAGGCCCTTTTTGCTGGCCAGCTCTTCTGGGTACACCCCGAGGCGGAGCCGCAAGACCCGCCCGACAATGACCTCAGCTACGTCATTCTTGCCTCCGGTGGGGCGCTCACGAAGAGTGCGAGCAGCGCCACAGTTGCGGTGATGCCGCGGGTGACTGTGACGAGCTCCATGTGGCGTCAAGCGTCGGCCTGTCCTCAGGAACCGCTCTGCATTTTTGTAGTTCCCAACGATGTCTTTCGTGCGGTGCTGCAGCAGCGTCGGCCGACGAGGTCTACGGTGCGGTGCCCGGTGGGTGTCAGCGTCCTGCCACCAAGCTCGGTGGCTGCCAAGCCCCGGGAAAAGCGTCAGCCCCCGTTTTCACGCGACTCCACAAGGGCGTCAAAGAGCCGCTGCCTATGACCAACCTTGCTTTTTGGGCCGGAGAGCCAGTAACTCTTCTAGAAGCCCTGTTTGTGAAGCCTAGGTTTCGTTATAAACCCTTTGTTCTTGTTTTTTGTTCTGCCATCTTTGCTTTTCTTGCCTTTTTTCTCAATGTGCTATTTTTGCGCCATCTGCCTGAGTCCGCTTTATTTTGCCCTGATATTTTCTTCTTCGCGAGAGCCTTTTTGAAGGGGTAATAGAGGCGGCGCGTGCCGCTCTTGTGCGTGCGTGTGCGAGTGCAGAGCTGCCCCCTACGGCCTTCATCGTCCCACGCCCGCGTCGGGGATTTCGTTTCTCCCCCGGATGCAGTGGAGGGGAGGAACTGTGGCGAGTTGTGTGAGGGGCGTCTTACACCACCGTCAGCGCGCCTGTGCGATGCTGGCAGTGGGTGCTGCTCCTCGGGCCTTCTGCACGGCGACCCCGTTGTTGATGGGGCACTGCGTACCGACAGTAAAGTTCTCTCTTGGGGCTTTGCCACCGAAGTTGCAGCGGGAGTTTTGCTGTGAAGAGAATGCCCAGAACTTGAGACACGTGACGCAGCGTCCACCGGACACCGCTGCAGATCCCACTGAAAAAGTCGTCCATGTCTTGCCCTCGTGGGTGCACGTGGTCGCGTGGCAGTGCGAGGCGTGCGGGTGCCAGTGGTCCGCTCGTCCAGTGGATCGCACGGACCCCCAGGTCTCCTCCTTCTACGCCTGCCCAAAGTGCGTCTCTGGCGCAACGGCGGAGCCGACGGCAACGTCTGACTCGCGACGATCCCGTTTACGGCGGCTTGCTGAGGTGCATCCGCTGCTTGCGGCGCAATGGGACGAAGGCCGCAACGCCGTCCTCCACAACCGCGTCTTTATTGAGTCTGTGGTCGATGTGCCGCTACCGTGCAGCACTGTGGTGTGGTGGGCGTGCCCGCATTGCCGGAGGTCGTGGAGAGAGTCTGTTGATTCCCGTGTGCACCGGTACGAGCAGCAGCAGCAGCAAGAGCGGAAGAAAAACGATGGTGATGGTGGAAGTGCCACGCTTCCGCTGTGCCCCTCATGCGAAAGAAGTGGTGTTTATAGCTCTCCCCGCCCTGAGGCAACTTTGCCGTCCTCTGCCTTTGCAGCGGTATCGTCGCGGTGTGGAGAAAACGGTGTCGTGGGGGTAAAGCGCTTCTTAAAGGACGACGCGGTGCTGCTTGCGGAGGCGCTCTTGCGTCCGCACGAGGACCCGGCGGCACTCTCCCTACACAGCAATAAACCTCTCTTGTGGAGGTGTCGCTGGTGCACGCATGAGTTCACAGCCTCAATTGCAGACCGCTTCCTCCGCTACTATCGCTGCCCGCAGTGCACGGGCGCCGTGGCCACCCCGCTCAATCTTCTTACCATTCAGCGCCCAGACGTAGTCCGCGAGGTGGCGCAAAGTGTGTCGAGGACGAAGCTGTTGCATATGACTATCCACGACAACACCATCGTGACGTTTGTATGCCGGACATGCATGTCTCCTTATCGCATGTCTGTGCGGCTGCGTTGCGTGCTGCAGCCTGGGGTCACGGCGTGCCCGAAGTGCCTTTGGAACCGCTCACAGTTTGCGAAGGAGGTGGCTGTGGCCAATGCAGAGCGCGGCGCGTTAAGTGCGGCTCCGCGTTTGTCAATGAAGAAATTTCGTTTGAAGCGACGTCGTCGGGGCACCTTCGACACCGTGCGGAATGAGCTCCGTCAGCGTGATCCCGACCTGATGAACTAACTTGCCGCTGAGGTTGAACAGCTGCGGGTGACAGGGATGTCATTGGGGCTTGACCCGCTTCTTTGAAACCCCTTCGAGAGCCTCTCCTCTCCTTTTTGGGCTCCAGTGCGGTTGACCCTCGAGAGAGGGAGAAGTACAGAGAGAGTACGTGCGTGTTGTGTGTGTCGATGCTCTTATTTCTCTGGCCATCTCGTGAGCCCAAAAGGAGAGAAAATACAAAAAAACCTTCTGCTTCTCCTTCTTTTCCTTCTTGGCGGCTGTGGGAGGGGGAGGTAAGGGTGTCTGCGCTGCATTCGGGCCTTTGAGCGAAGGGCAAATAGGCATAGAGAAACGAACCCAAAGGCGTGGAAGCGGGGGACGACAATACAGAGCCGAGTGTGAGGTAGGCATTGATTTATTTAGCGGCTACACCTATGAGCCTGCGGGGGCCGTCGCTCAGTGTGCCTAACGCGGAGGGCGTGCCGCGGCTCACGGATGTCGCGCTGGACCTCTGTGGAAGAGCCCTGGCCTCTGTTTGGCCGCTGATCGTTGCGTCCGGACCGGAAAAAGCCGAGACATTTGCCTGCTGGTACTTGCGCCGCGTGGCGTTCATGCAGGAGCGCACAAAGGAAGATTTTGACGAGGCACGAAACGTAGAAGTGCCGGCCGACGCGCGAGAAGGCGGCGAAGCGAACTTTTCCCTCGCGTTTAATGCGCTGTGCCGGGGACCCGTCGAGAAGGAGACCCACGGCTGGCAGCGGGAGCGGTCTTCCTCTGTGCCCACAGTCTTTGGATTCGCAGAACAATCTAGCTCTTCTGCACCCCTGTTGGCAGCTGCACCCGTGACGCCTGTGGAGGGGAGTGCAGGGGGCGACGGTGAGAGGCACCGCGCTTTCGCGTACTTTGAGGAGCTGCTGGACCTTTGCAGAGATGTTGGTGGGCGCGACATCCGGGAGGACTGCCTTCAACGTGTTATTTCCCTCATCACGGGAGACTTTTCTTGCTCCGGTCGTGCGCCGCGGGCCCTCTGGGGCAGCCAAAGCCTCGAGGAGCGGGCTGCGGTGATACTCCCCGCACTCTCAGCCTTGTTTACGCTGAGGGGTGAATTCTCCGCCGAGCACGTGCCACGGAGCCTCACAACTTCTTTTTTGGTTTGGATGCGTGTCAGCTGGAGCTGTGCGTCCTTTGCGTGGAAGACGCACATAGCACGGGCGGTGGGAGAGTGGCTCGCCGACTTTGAGTCTCGGCGGGCGTCGACGGCGTTGTCGGGGGCAACGCTGCCGTTGAGTCAACCCATGCGGCCACCGCAGAAGCCAAAATCCTCGTCGCATAGGCCCTCCGCAAGGAGCTTCCCCCCGGTCTTGGAGGGGAAGCAGAGGCTGAACATTGCCAACATGTGCATTGCGATGCGACGCATTTGTGAGGGCTGCTCACCGAGCGAGAGAGATCTTCTGGAGTTACTCATTCAAAGTGGGTGTGGAGTTCAGTTTTCCGACCAGAATGTGTTGGAGCACGTGATGAGCGACGCGGCAGCGGGAGGCGGGGCGTCCGATGCGCATCTGTCCCACCACTCCATCCTGCTGCGAATTGCGAGCGGTATGCTGCTCTACGCGCTATTTTATCTGACGGTCAACTCCTTGGAGGCGGCCCTTCACTGTGCACGAACCGCCGTCCTTGTCGGACACCAGTGGCGTTCCGACGAGTTTCTCACAATGGCACACTACAGCAGCTTCCTTGTCCGTCTCGCCAGCCAAGACGCTCCCGCGGCCGCGGGAGAGATCGCCATCCTGCTTCAGTTAGCGGATGCCGCAGCGCATAGGGACGATGACGTCGGCGGTGAGGCGAATTACAACGCACCCCGATATCACGCCGGTTGTTTGGGCTACATGGGGGCGGCCCTGCTACTGCTTATTTGCCCAGGAACCCTCGACACTTACCTACGCTCTGTGATTATTGCTGGTATTGTGGCGGGGAGGCCCGCCGCGAGCGAGGCAACAGCTGACGGCCAGGCTGTGTTGGGCGGCACACGCAAGAGTCACGGCAGTCACGCCGAGGCGGAGGCGGCTCGCGGCGGCCACTCCGTCGTGGTGCAGACCATTGCGCAGACGGTGCGATTTGCGCTTTGGCTGTCCGAGATGGAGACTCTTCTCGACCCCTCCTCGACGGTTGTGACGGAGATTATCACCGGCGTTGGACGAGAGACTTTGATGATTATCGCCGGGCACTACGGCGTGCGTGTCGCGCAGAAGGCCATCAACGCCGCCTCGCTCGGCCGCCTGCTACGCCAGCTGGACGAAGAGGTGTCCACGGCCTCCTCTCTCTTCTCGTGTCAACCCGCATCGCTCCTGCTGCGGGAAACGCTGCGGCAAACGGCTCATCGTGCATTGGCCACGCAGGTTGGCGCAGCGGAGCCCTCGCCTGGGGCAGGACCGTTGAACATCTTGCACGACTTCCTCGTGGCGGTGGAAGTGCACTACGGCGAGGACGGCGCAGAGGTTGTGCGGGGAGACTTCTTCTTTACGTCTACCTACCGCTTCCTCTTTGCCGTCTGGCTCCGGAAGCATGGGTACATGAAGTCAGCCTACCAAGAACTCACCCGCCTCGCTGACAGCATGCTATTCCATAGCCGTTGCAGCACGGATGATAGCATGGTAGGTGGAGAAACTGCGTCAGCCGCAGCCGCAGCCGCAGCGGTGCCGCCGCTGACGAAAAAAATGACACACACAACATCAGTGCTTAAGAAGAGTGGTCTGGAGTACTGGCCGCCTGACCATTTGCTGCTTTGGCAACAGGTGCAGTTTGAGCGGGCGCAGCTGGCACGCTACCTTGGTTACTCCGCTACCTTGCCTGCCATTGACGGGGCGCTGCGTCGCGTGAGTGCGGGGAGCCATTTAGTTATGGGCGTACTCTACGCCGACCTTGTTGCCGCCATGATGTGCTTTCAGCGTGGGAATTACGCTGAGGCCCTCCACGTACTCGACAAAGTCTTGAGCGGCGCGAAACGCATCGGGTTGACGTTGGTGCAAGCGCACGCAAATTCGATGCGGGTCTCTGCTCTGCTTACGTGTAGTCGATGGGACGATGCACAGGAAACCTTGAGCGCCATGCGTCCTCTTCCCTCGCTGCTGGAACCGGGCTTCCTCCTCGCTCGGCTGCGTGCGCAGGGAGAGTCGCTGCTGGCGTCCTCGGCAGCAACAGAAGCTGACCTCGTCGCTGTCGTGGAGCACCACGTGCGTCGCATGGAGGCCTGTGGGTGTTTCCGCGAGGAGCCGGAGGAAGAGGATTCCGTCGGCATTACTTTGGCGGAGAAGTTGTGCGTGCACGCCTGCATCGCCCGCTTCGCCGTGACGTCGTCGTCGTCGGAGCAGCAGCAGTCGTGGGAGAATAATTTAGCGGCGCTTTCAAGAACGTTGAGGCAGCGCCAGTTTCAAGAAGGAAAGTGGCAGGTGCTGTGTAACATGCCCATGCGGCATGTCTGCCGAGATATTTTGTCGGGTGCGCTACTGCAGCAGCTGACGCAGACTCCCTGAGACTCGCACTGGGGGAGAGAGAGAATGAAGCAATGGGAAGGAAAACTTAGTTCCCCCCTTTGCTCGGCATGGTCGAAAGGAAAACCGAAATGGGCAACTACCCATCCTGCATTTGTGCAGGCGTGTGCGCGTGCTGTAGTGTGTGTGTGTGTGAGCATGGATGTGGCTGTCGCGGAAGGTCGCGGTGCGCATGGGGAGAGTGGAGAAGTTGGGGGGCAGGCGAGGCACCTTCGCCTTCTTGTTTTTTTTTTCTTTTCCACCCGCTGTGGCAAAGCGCACGAATCACCGCACGCACCCTCGCTGACGTTGCGGAGTTGAACCTGCGGGGGGTTACCGCCGGCCAGCCAGGAGCCTGGCACGGCGCTGCCATCGTCCGTATTGCCCGAGACAAGCCCAAACGCGAAGGCAGCCGCACAACTTCCCACATTCTCGCACGTTCGCGATCTCCGGCGGGAGGCTTTGGCCGCATTGTGCCTTGTGGTTGGTGTGTGCGTGGCGGCGAGGCACCTGTTCTCTCCCTCTCTCTCTTTTCGTATTGTTTTTGTGGGTGGGGGTCGAAGGGGCGTTCATTCGAGCACGCACACTGCGAGGCAGGCGGAAAGGCGTGGCGCGGACGGCATAAAAAAGGCAAGCGAAAGAAAGAGGGAAGGAAAAATCCAATTGGCGGTGCCAGGGAGTACTTCAGCAGCCCGGCATGACGGAGTACGCGGACTGCACGGAGGTGTCGAAGAAGGCGCTGGAGTTCCGGCAGCAGTTTTACCAGCTGCTGGACGACCCGAACAAGCGGCCGGAGATCGTCAACTTGTACGCCCCCGGAACGCCGCTGCTGTGCGAGTGGAACGGCCACTCGCTGCCGGACGCCGCCTCCATCTCGGCGTACCTCAGCGGCCTGCCCAGGACGAGCCACAAGATAGACTGCGTAGACGCCCAGCCACTGCCCGGAAACGAGCAGGCGGATTCATTTCTCATGACGGTGCACGGCATCGTGACGTACGACGATGAGCACAAGCGAGAGTTCTTTCAGCGTCTCGTTATTCGCAAGGTGGATGGGCGCTACTACATCGTCAACGACTACTACCGCTGGCTCAGTGAGAAGGAGTGAGAGTCGCATGCTCGCCGCCCAGAACCGCAGCCTCCTCCCTCTCAGCCAAGCAGGCGGTGCGGGGGGTGGGGCGCCGGGTGTCTGGGGCCCCTGCGGCCGAGTGCCGGCGAATGGGCCTCGCGAGTGTCTGTGTGTGTGTGTGTGCTGTGGGCGATAACCGAAACTAAAAAAAAAGAAATACCCCTAAAAAGCCAAACAAACAAAATCGGTAAACCATAAAGTGGGGGGCACGAACGACAGCACCCACACACACACAGAGAGATAGAGAGGAAGAAGAAAAGTTTGGGCGAGTTTCCTGCGCCCCATCCTCTGCTCTCATTCCCTCTGGGTGCTCTCTCTCTCTCTCTCTCTCTCTGCGTGTGTGTGTGTGTGTGTGTGCCGGTGGTGGGCCGGAGAAAACCCCTGAAAACGGCGTTCCGCCAAGGAAGTAGCACCCCCCAAGAAAGGGAAGCGAAGCCAAAATTGGCAGGGGGAATAAGCGCGGCATTGCACCTAAAGCTGAGCGAGCGAGACAAATAGAGGAGGCGTGCGACTGCAAGCCGGTACAAATCCGGTGTATTACAACAGTGGCCCGGAGAGCAAAGGCGGCACACGCGAGCGTTCGTACATTTGCGTCTGGAACAAGTGAGGGTGCCTATCTCAGTCATTAACGTGCTAGCTCCTTCTGAAAAAATGATGAAAAAAGACGCACAAAAGGTGCTGAAGGGCGCCGCATACACGGAGTCCAGCCCGATTTCAGATGTCTCCCATCAGAAGGCATCCGCCAGCAAGGCGTTCCTTGAGAATCACTACCGTGGAATGTTGCGTGAGGCGCGTAGTGGTGGCAACGCACGGCCGGTCGGACCGCGACAGCGGGAGCCGTGCGCGGAGGATTTTGTGCTTCTTAAACATATTGGCAAAGGCGCCTTTGGCGAGGTGTACGTTTGCCACCGCAAGGGTGATGGGGAGAAGCATCTGTACGCTCTCAAGCGGATGCGGAAGACGGACATGATCCGAAAGAAACAGACGCTTCATGTGCGGTCCGAGAAGGACGTCATGGCGGAGGCGGCTGCGACAAATGAATGGGTGGTGCGTTTACATCTTAGCTTCCAGGACGAATCGTACCTTTACATGGTGATGGAGTACATGCCGGGTGGAGACATGATCTCCTGGCTTTGCCTGAAGCAGAAGTTTGACGTGGAGAGCACGCGGTTCTACATCGCGGAACTCTCCGCCGCCGTGGCCAGCGTGCATGACATGTGTTTTGTTCACCGTGACATAAAACCGGACAACATCCTGTTGGGCGCGGATGGGCATATTAAACTGACAGATTTTGGTCTCTCCAAGCGGTTTGCGAAGGTGGGTGAGGAGCTGCTGGAGCTCGAAGAAAGTGCCCCGTTGGAGAGCATCACACTTGACGAGGTGGCCAGTAGGCCCGACCCCGCGTCACCGGCTGAAAGACACGGCGTGGTGCATTTCCGTGATCGACACATGTTTGAGTCTATTGTGGGTAGTCCTGGCTACATTGCGCCGGAGATATTGCAGCGTCAGCGCTACGGCATAGAGTGTGACTGGTGGTCGGTGGGTGTCATCATGTACGAGATGCTCTACGGCATTCCACCCTTCTTTTCGCCAAACCCGAACTCCACCTGCTACAAGATCACCCACTGGCGGGAGTACCTTCTGTACCCGGATAACTCTGGCGTGCCTGAGGACGCGGTGGATCTGATGAAACAACTCATGTGCGACCCGAAAGACCGTCTGGAATTTAACGAAATTAAGGCGCATGCATTCTTCCGCGGCATCGAGTGGAAACACCTGCGTGAGATGAAAGCGGCCTTTGTGCCGGTGCTCTCCAGTCCGCTTGACACGACGTACTTCCCTGAGATTGACGACGGGGACAAATCACAACGGCCTGAAGAGAGCAACACCGTGAAGGAGGTTGACCCACACGGGGTTATGTTTGCCGACTACAAGTTCAACCCCTCACGGTGAGCACACGCTGCACCGCAGCGTACTTCCACCACGTTTTCTCTCGTTACATGTGCCGCCGACTGTCATGCCTTTCTGCATGCATGTATGTATGTGTGGGTGTGCGTGTGTGTGGATGAAAGATGGAAACCCCAAAGTGGTGGTGAAGCAAAGGAGCGAAAAAAAAAAAGGGTACTGTGTGTGTGTGTGGGGGGGGGGAATGCACTGAATGGTATTGTTGTCTGGTGGTGCTAGTTCCCTTGCAGAAAAGGGACGAAATTGGTGTGACATCTAACGTGCATGACAGAATGTTTCCCCTGCGCCATTCCTCCTTGTTGCCCACGCACATACACGTGCTTCAAAAGCGTTGCTCCTGCTGTAGCTGCGGCGAACGTTTTTTAGCTGTCTTGGGGTTCTGCCTGCGTCCCGATTCAGGCAACATTTTCCCCGCGTTCAGGCCTTTTGGTTTTATTACTGTTTTTTTTTTTTGATTGACTAGACCCTGGCGACAACTCTTTTTGGGCGCTGATGCTGTTTTGTATGCTTGAGCCGTTTGTGTGTGTGTGGGAAGTGGATGGGCGGCGGTAATGGGACGGCGCCCGTGGGAATTTCCGGCTGTTGATGTCGTTTGCCTCTCACCGTGTTACCTCTGCGGTCTGCCTGCGCCGTTGTCGTGGTTGATTTCTCGTATGTCGTGAAGCGTCGTCCCCGGCGTCTGCGGTTTCCGCTGCGGCAGACGGCGGGACGGACGGCGGTGGGGGTGCGGGGGCGAGGCGAAAAACGCCCGCAACTGGGGAACTGAAGTCAGGAAGTTGTTGTTGTTGGGTTTTTTTTTTCTGCGGGCGAGTCATGCGTTACTGGAGGTGGAAGAGGAGGGCTAGGAGCCAACGCGGGGGCGGCAACGAAGGGAGAAGTATGAACAAGACGAGAGTAAGAAGGAACAGAAAAGAAAAAAGGACGAAGAAAGCAAGGAGGAATTGGGCACACACCCAGACATGTGTGCCCGCACGTGTTTCCATGCGGTGGTCGAGAGTAATGGACTGTGCTTTGGGCGCAAGACGGAAGACGAGACACCAAGATGGAGACTAAGGCTGCCGTGTTTGTGTGTGTGTGTGTGTGTGTTTAGTGGCGATGCCTTTTCACTGCTGGGACACCCTTGCGTTTGTTTCATGCACTTCTTCTGTTTCTACACCCATCTATCTCTCTGCACACCCCCGTCTCTGTGGACTTCTTTCTTGTATGCTTTGCATGTAGAGAACGTTCTGTGTTGTAGAGTGCCGCCGGGTTATTGACCCTCACTCATCCACTCATCCACACACACACACACACACACACACTAGCGCAAGACGAATTAAGATGTGTCGGGCCGCCTCGCTTGTTTTTGTTCTGCTCCTTTTTTCTCTGTTGAATTTGCAGCTGCATCCAGTGGCAGGAGTGTCGTATACGCCACATGCAGCGAGCGAGGCCGCGCGTCCAAGTCGTGTGGTGGAGTTGACAGACGCCACATTTGATAGTATCGTGATGGATCCAGAGAAGGATGTCTTTGTGCTGTACTACGTGCCGTGGTCGCGGCACAGCAAGACCGCAATGAAGCTTTGGGACGACCTTTCTATGAGTCAGTCACGGACACGCAACGGCTTGACGTTTGTGGCGGCGAGGATTGACGGTGATAAGTATCCGGATGTGGTTAGCCGCATGCAAGTGAAAGGGTTTCCCACGATGCGGTACCACACGCGGCTTGACAAGGAGGAGCCGCTTGAGTACAACGGCGAGCGATTTCTTAGCCTCCTTGACAGCTTCGTCTTCCAGAACACATGAGGCCAATCTCGCTCGGCCGTTCAAATCGGCACGCGAGTCTAACAGAAGCCAATACAAATCAATACGTGAATAAAGAAATATATGTGTGTGTCTATGTGTATATGTGTGTGATGCTTATCAGATGCCTATAGCTGTGAATATTTATTTACGTATTCATTTGTTTATTTGTTGCGTTATCTCGCTGCTGTAAATATTTTTCTTCAAGCGCTTTTATTTTTATTGTCTTTGTTGTGAATGTCCATGAGTGTGGGTTGATAGTAGTTTGCTTTCCGTTTTTTTTGTTTTGTTGTGTTTGGTTTCACTTTGTGGTTGTTTCGCGTGGCGGTTGGCAGCCGTGCCTCGTGCGTGATGGTGGACTGCGGGCGGAGGAAACGTGGCACACGCGCGGGTGCGGCTGAGCTGCGCCGCAGCTCAAAACGGCTCTTGTCTCCCCCCCCCCCCCCACGGCACGCAATGACGGGCGGAGCGGTGAGTGCGGGGGGCAGTGTGCGCTGCCAAAGGCACACGCACCAACCACCACGGCAACGGCGGCAGCAAGTAGAGGTGAAGGCCGGCAACGAGGGGCAGAAATGGACAGGGCCAATGTGAAGTTATTGTTTGTGCGCACGCATGCGGCTTGGTTTTGTTATTCATTTTTATTCCTAAAGTGGGCGGGCCGGTTGTTGTTGTGGCCTTTTTCCTGCATTTCCTCCTTCTCTTTCTCCTCCCCTTCTTTTTTTTCCTTCTCCCTGCCGATGTGGCTCTGGGTTTGGCCTGGTGCAGGGGGAAGGAGTTTGCGCGCACGCTCACGCGAGGGGGGAGACGCCGCCACGGCACGGGGACACGGAAGGGAACGGCGCGAGCGGGGGCTTCACGGCAGCCAGAAAAAGAGTTGCGTCAATGAGGCGGACAGGGGGCGTTGTGCGGCTGCTGCTTTTGGCGTTTGTGGCGGCCGCGATGGCGGGTCTCTTCACGCCGCACGCCATGGCCCAGGAGATAAAAATGGAAAAGTCTATGGAGCTCGACGCGAAAACATTCCACGGCGTCGTGGACGACCCATCGAAGCACGTCTTTGTTCTTTTCTACGCCCCATGGTGCGGCCACTGCCACCGCCTTATGCCCAAGTGGGAGGAATTGGCGGGCGAAATGAAGGAAATGAAGGAAGTTGTCGTTGCCCACATTGACGCCTCCTTGCACCGCGAGATCGGAGGAGAGTACGGCGTGCGTGGCTTCCCCACTCTGCGGCTCTTTCCAAAGGGAAACAAGGAGGGCTTACCGTACCAGGGGCCGCGCGACGTCTCCGCGTTGAGGAGTTTCCTCAAGAGCGCCATGTAGCAGGCCTGAGGTGCGGCGCACTACAATGAAGCAGAGAGGTAAGAGGAGGAAACAAAGAAGGAGGAGGAGGGGGTGTGGCCAAGAGGCAGTGGGAAGAAAAGAAGAAAAGAAGGAGGGGCCTGAGGGGTGTGGGCGTCAGATGCTTTTGACTATTTGGCTATTCATTCTCGGAGGGTACGTTTTCGTTTGTGTCTGCATGGCGCCTGGTTCTGCATCTAATGCGTACGCCACGTGGCGGCCCAGGACGGCCTCTCGCAGCGCTGTCCATCTGACTTGCTCTTGCTTTTTTTTTTCTTCTTGCTGGATTTTGCGCGTGTCGGGTTTATAGTTGGGATTGCGATTGCTTGCTGCGAAACAGCTAGGCTAGCAACGCGAAAGAGAGTGGGGGAGACTTCTCTCTCCCATTTTTTTTCTACACACACACACACACACGCACTGTAAGAAGGTATAAATATACAGAGCGGCCTTGCACAATTTCCGAGGGAAGGACCAGTGAGTCCCCCTGCCGCAATGCGCATAATTCCGCACCAATCGGAGGATGCGTCCTCTTGTCTCGTGGTGGTTCCGGTGCAACTGGGCCATGGACGCACGTTAACGGCCTGTGCCCTTAAAGGCGGTGACGATTTGGATGTCTACCATGAGGACGGCCACCCACGCCAAAGCGGGTTGCCGTACCGCAGCACCGTCTGCTGTGATGAACATGTACGAGCACGTGTACAGAGTCAGGAGTTTAGGAATGCGGAACGCCTTGCTCAGGAGCGTTTTGCCATTGGGCACGATATACCTTTCTGTGTGCGGCGCTCGCTGCCTTTCCGAAATCAGCTCAGTCGCAAAGACAGCATGGCATATGTCCAAGACAGAGACGCTGTGAATGGCTACCCAGGTGCGTTGCCCATGCCATCCATCCCAACCCCAGGGAAGGAGTCGGGGATCTCTGGGGGTAGAAGTCGCTCCAACCTCATCTCGCTTCCACCTCTTAATAAGGTCTACTCAGAGCACAAAAGCGTAACGCCGGTGCGTGCATCAATTAACAGAAAACGCTCATTTGACCGTTTGCCGGCAATACTTCGTGTAGAGGAGAATGCTTAGTACTCTCCCAACCCCGTGGGGCGGATGTAAAAGGCGGCAGGAAGCGGATTCACGGCGCCGAAATTTCACGGTGCGTGCTGTGACCGTATGTGTGCGTGTGTCTGTCTCTCTCTCTGTGTCCTCAGATTTCTTCCGTTTCTTTGCTGTATATTGAATAAAAAAGAGAAAACGATGCTATTTGCATTTTTGTAGGATGAAGGAAAACAACAGCAACAACAAAAGGAAAGTTCCTTTGGGTTACTTATAAGGCGTTGGACACGCGCTGTTTTTTTTCTCTCCTTCTGTGTGTATATTTCTTTTTTTGAATTCCCTCCATGCGTATTGCCGCGTTATTTATTTATTTATGTTTACTGTGGGTTGCTGTTGTTCTTCTTCTTTTTTTTTTCACCCACTGGGCATTTCTCGGCGCACGTGCAGTTGCCGTGTTGTTTTTCCGAGTGGTTCGCGGGGGCGCAAGAGT